ACGCACTCAGGATAATGTCATCAGAACATAACGTCTTACCAATTACTAGAAGTTTTGCATTGTGGCAATGTACTAAGGGAGTTGTAAGCGGAAGCGGGATCAATTATACTACCATTTGCTACATGCGTATTCTTGTGGTATTGATAAGATGGCTAATGGAGACCCATTGTTTCGAAAAGCATCATAACTTGGAGTGCTGTGACGGTTTCAATACTGTACATGGAATTCCTTCTTTTTAGAAAACACAATCAGTCTAGTGACCTGAAAAGTGTAGCCCACATAAGATAGACTAGTCAGAGTTGAGTTTTGAAGGATGGATATTAGGTATTTGCAAATTACTGCCCCTAGGTTTTTATTTTACATGTACTTATATGTGCGCCCGCATGTATCTAACGAACCATGATACTGATTTCCCCATTGTGTTTATTGCTTCTAACCATTGTCGTATTGTCCCTCATCCAGGTTACACCTGCTCTTTATTATACAGCGCTATCCACCACCAAAAGGCACTAGACTTAACACAAAAGTGAAACCAACTACAGGCTTCCGGTGACCGATAGTTTCTGTGTCACCGCTGAAACAGTTCGGATTTTTCGTGCGTTACTCAGTTTTGGGTGTGATAAAAAGGATGATAACGGACTGATTTCCAACGAACAACGCTATGCCTTAGATCAGTCGTTTAAGCCTCTGTTGAAGTCAGCTTAATTTAGGTGTAAAGCCGTTTTGGTGATAATGGCCCAATCCAGTGGAGAGCAGATTCAATCAAACTGAGAAACGGGGATAAAAACCGATGTGACAAGGGTTAGAAATGGCTCAACGAGGCTGAGTGACGACGGAAAAGGCTTAATACGGTCCAGCTGTTGACAAAATATTGAAAATTGGTTCTCGTAGCTCGAGTGAACTGAATTCCATTTTGCCTGTTCGCCGAGCTTAGCAATTTCTTTGCAAACGTTTCATCACCATCCGAGGTTACACCATCAGTGGCCACTTCACAAGCACCTCACCTCGGCTGGTGATGAAACGTTTGCAGAAAAATTGCCAACCTCGGCGAACAGGCGAAATGGAATTCGGTTCAGCTGTATCCAAATACTTCTCCAAATATAGTGCACAAAATGCTGCTATTTCTCACGAATGCATAAAATTCCGAGTGTCTAAGTCGTGTTTCGTTGTTGAATTGGGCTCGGTGAGTTGACTTTTGGTCTAGCAAGATCAATTTCATCACAAATAATGTGCTTGGAGGATGCAACTGACTTAAGTGCACTTCATGACTGAATAATAAAAGCAATCACTTGGTGATCAAATATAATGATCTTTCAATTTTTTAATTTCTACCATTCACTGAGGATAGCATATTTCATTAAAGACTTGCTTCCTCAGCAAACCTCAAACATTTCAATGGGATTTTAAATTAGGGCTATGGATATCTTCGAGATTTTCTGTATCATTCCACGATTCTTCTTAGACGTAGTACAGTTTTGGTGGTCTAAAAATTTCCTAATCACTTTCCGAGTTGTTTAACTTATTTAGGTAGTATTTATTGTACTCAATCCTGAATTCCGTTAGGCACGTATGCTCTCTGTTCCAATTCAGATAGACGTCGAATGCGTAATAATGTCCTGCTTCCCTAACTGACAAGTTTCTGGACGCAGTCTGATTCCATTGACTGCATGAACATCATTCACAAACCACTCAGTCTCTGAGAGCTATCTCAGTAACATTTGATGAACCAATCACTCCGGACACTGCATCCGCGACTAATTCCACACACCAAATGAGCTATCATGAGCATTTTTTCATGGTATTCAGGAATCGAGTTGAAACCATTCAGCATTCTGCGCAATATCCGTAATAAAATGGATTTCCCATAAGCGAAGTGAAAATTGATATAGGAGCCCAAACGGAAGGCCGGAAAAAAAAATCAGGCGGAATAAATTTATTAGGTCCCTCTGTACAGGGATCTGCCAAAAGCATTTACAAGCTGTAAGGTGTAATAGGTCAAGCTTTTGTTTCTTCACGAGAAGATCATTCTATCACAAGGAATAAATTTGAGCCAAGGAACACGGTGATCTGTCCGTTCATTTAGTGGTAGGCATTTGGTGGTTCTATTCCTTTACTCATCCATCTGTAGTAGTCAGTGCACTTCAGTACTGCATCTGACCGGTTACGATGTGTGAGAGGAAATAATGGACGCATGAACAAACACGTGCAGAGGTCGGATGTACAAAGTGCCATCATTGCCCAAGCCAAATGTTTGATCGACTATAAAGTTGGCGTACACGAATATGGGATTTGATGCAGCTACTCAAGAACTGATGGGAGCGTGCTTGTGGCGAGATAGATTGATTGACCGATTTTGACCGCACTTCACCCAAACTTAGTGTAGCATAAGATCAATCCGTCTCAGTCAGACAGATTTCAGTATTGAACTGTCCACGCCAATTGATAGGTGATCAATCATTTTTGAGAGGTAGTTCAATTTATTGGTCAATGTGAATTCAATCAAGGTTTCTCAATTCTGTCAGTTGAACATATTCGTCACTATCCGAAGTGGTTTAAAAACAAGCAAGAAACAAGCAAGGAAAAGAAATGGTAGCTACTGAACTCTATAGATCTTTCTCAGCTACCCTTTCAGCGTGTTCCTCAGTCCCGCGAGATATGTGGCCTCATCACTGTAAACGTTGCCACTGATCGCAGCTTGGAAAAAGTCTTTTCATCCCCGATTGTTGTAGTCTATTGAGAATGATGTTGAGAGTCGATCGATGAATCAAAAGTTACCGTCTAAATTTAAATAACGATTTTCGCGGAATAACAACAACTTAAGGTAATTCGTGTAAAACGATTTATTTTACTCCAAATTACCAAGGATATGCGAATAACAAACTTCAGACTACCACAGATGCACAGATATCTGACTACTATGATGAGTTAAAGGTGTCTCACAGTTTCCGTAGTATTTGCTGTCAATCATAGACTCTGGGAGAAGTAGGAAGCTGAGTTATACTCGTGAGGGGATACAAATAATGCATGTTGGAGTTCAACTGAAAACTTCATAAAGATAGAAATCAGCTTGTGATTTACCCGATCACTAGGCAGGGAAATGGATAAACACGTTTTGTCAACACTTACTGAAGTTTACACAACTTAAAGTTCACAAGGTTTTGCAGGAATTCGTAAATTTTTCGCCTACCTCACACCTTTTCCTTTGCATTGTAACTTTGAAATACAAGTCTAGAGGCCAACAATTGTTTTCCAATGATTTATGCTCTTACCTGTAAAACTCCTCCCTCCCCTCTTCTCATTCCAAATGACCTTTCGACTCCGCGTGAAAATGTGTCTCCACCGGCACCAAACCCTTATATGATCTTTACAGGCACGATTAGGAATCATTCGAAAACGACTGTTCGTCTTCATACATGTGTTCTAACCTTTTTATTTGTGGAGAAATTATTATGTGATGGTTGACAGAGGGCATTGGATCCCTGTGTTTCCTTGTTGGCGATAGTTGCCATCTGCTCTGTTCTTGTCGGAATTCGAAAGGTCAAATTTTGAGGAGCGAGGGAAAGGAGGGGATAAAACGTTTAGATGGTGAATGTTTCGATTAGCCCATTCGGATTTTCACAGGCACTGCTGATGACTTTCGTTGGGGGTTTCACTCCTTGGGAGATAGTTAATTCCTCACTGTTTGTGTGCATTTAAATGCGATGGACGAGTCCCAAACAGGACGAAACAGCTGTCCAGGGGGTGAAAAGCTTTATCTTTCACCTTAACTGTTGAGCATTATCGTCCCGCTAGTTTGATTACATCAAGTAATGATACATGTTCCTGTTTGAGTTCACACGCATTCACAGGCAGCAGTCCATTCCCATAAATATGACCATTACACATTTTCAGGTTACCGCAAAGAGAACGATCGTGGAATTTAGAACGATAATTGGCAGGTTAAAATGTGCATGATGGAACATTGGCAGATGTGGAATGCCGTATGGTGCGAATGAATTAAAACAAATCAGCGGTTTCAATTCATCAACTTCCGTTTTGGGACAGTACAGTATGCCTCAGCTTCGTGCGTGTGTTTGTTGGTTACCCATAAACTGTTGTTAATTACGATGTTTTGGGAGATGCGGATAGTGTGATATTGCATAAATCATTTTTCAGCAATCTGTCTAGTCTAAATATATATATATATATATATATATGTGTGTGTGTGTGTGTGTGTGTGTGTGTGCGTGTGTGATGCTGCTCGGACGAGTCGGGGAAATTTCTTGTTTTTCTCGCTTCAGAGACATGGCACATTTATTTCTGGAACAATAAGTTATATCATCCGGCTTATAGGGAGATAAGCCCGCACAAACTGTGATGATCACCATTTAGAAACGGATGATATTCTTATTATTGAAGTGACTGTTTACAACACACATATCATTTTCATATGTGGAAAAAGACTCAACCAAGAAATCGTGATGTTGGAGGTGGGGATTAGACACATTGTGGGCGATCAGTTAATAATCACAATCGGCATGAATGGTATAGGCTCAGAGCAGCCATTTGATTTCGCTTACGTATGTCATTTTTGTGCAAACTAAATATACATTCAAAAGCTATTTTTAGATCTAACTGAATGCTTGTCATCATCACAAACGATGGCCAAAAAAAAATGGAAAGGGAGATGAAAGTTTCAAATGTTCATCTGTTTAATCCACGAACCTACGTAATTATCAGATTCACAGTTGGTAATATTATGGAACAAGCTTTTTACATCATGGTGATTTCCAATTGTAATTCAACTTTTTTTATTTAGCATATGATGAATTTCATTTGGTAATTTATTATTTGGTACGAAGACAATGATTCTTCTCGCTTAATTGATTGCTTTATCTATCCAAATAGACTAAGATCGCAACAGTCTGTTGCCGGACAAAGTGTCGATGACGAAGAACTGAGCGTTTCCACAGTCAGCCTGAACACTCCTGGACCAGGGACGGCAAATTATACACAAGGTGAATATCAACACGCGGGTCATGATAATCAAATACGTGGAAGTAGCACATACAGTGTGAACAGTTCAAACAGCGGTGGTGGTCGTGCCGGAGGCACTCCCATGGATGGGCAAAGTCCATATCGGGGTCGACACCAGATGAGCAATAGCTCTTCGAGTACTTCGCATACACCAGAATCCGCTGGTAGTACGCAAACAGCCCAAGCCCCACAGCCCCCACCAATGCCAAAAGATCCGGCTGCACTGGAACTGGAGAAAACAGAACGAGAAGAGGTGGAACGGCGAAGAACCTTGCAACTGTGAGTTTGCGAAGCGACCATGAGAAGGGTTGGGGGGGGCGGGGACCGAGCGTCTTGTGTCTCGTTTTCTCTTTCTTTGATTTATACTCGTGTGTAGTTCCGTTGAACGCACAGATAAAACCGGAAATCCCACGTGGTGTTGTTGTCGATGTTGTTCGCATCGTCGTCATTGTCATCGACGTCGGTTTGATGAAATAAATGTTGTCCCGCGCACACTTGCTCGGTTGAATCCGGTCTGGACACGTGAAACATCGCTGTCATCTTCGTTGTCAATGGCTTACCAGGTTTGTGATTAATATGTCTGTCTGCTTTTCACTGTTGTCGCCTTTCGTTCCTTGTTCATTTCTACATCTCAGAAAATACACAAAATGAAATAGATTAACATCCGAGGACAAACAGAGTATAATTGTAATTGAAATCGGATTCTTTTGAGTAAAAGGGCACTAGCATTTGGTAACCCTAAGCAAGAATTACTAATTGAGAGGAAATATCAGCGTATTTTCTTTATCGATTTTGTAATAAACAAAATCCATATGAAACTATTTTGTAAGGGAAGAATCAAAAATATGATGGATTGCTCACATTGCACCGGGAACACGTTCATTTGTTTTTTTTTGGATACGAAATCCTCCTCAGCTGCTAAATCTCAAGGGTCTCACAAATTATGGTGAGCGTTCCCAGTGCCATTCACGAGGTTGGTACTGGAGAGTAGACTGGAAAGATCGGATTACCCTTAATGTAAAAGCTGAGAAATGGGGGACGACAGGACAGTTGGAAAAATGTATTATGCTCTGAATTTGAGAGTACTTTTGGTAAATCAAAATGTTAAACTGTTTCACTAATATACCAACTAAGTATTATCACTGCAAATAGAAAAGTGCATTAGGCACCTGTTGTTTATATCATGATGCGTAAATCCATTTAGTACTGCCGATCAGTGAGTTAGTTAAATCGATTCAACTACACGTTTCTTGTTTAGTGCTGGCTACCACATGACTGAATTCATTCAAATCCGGATGAAACAAACAAGCTCATGTTGAGAAGTCATCCTCAAAGGAGTAAACTTTCATTCCAGTTTTTATAGATACGAGCATAATAATGCGGTGCCACAGGTAATCCAACATTCACTTATCAAATTTTCAATACTTTTATATAAAGATATGATTATAGGCCATCCTTGGTCCAAATGGACTTGGGAAAAAAGTAAGCTTGCATTCGTTTTAACAAGTAGAAATTGCACCATCCAAACTATGTTAATCACCGTTTCTAGTATCTTGCTTGATAAAAAGGTACAATAAATTGTAAAACCGTTGGAAAATCGCATCCAACTTGAGTTAAATTCACGTAGTGACTGCTGTGCAAAGCAAATTGTGTACCTGCAGCATTGATCCGTTGGGCTTACAGCACATTATGTCACCAGGTTGAATCATAATATCTGAAAAACTGTTCGGTAGATAATTTCCAAGCAGAAAAATGGGCAGATCGCTCAGAAGATTGATGTAACATTTCTCCACCTACGGAATTGAGGCTTGTTCCGCTTGATAGCGTTTAACCGGGTTCTCACGTTCCTTTTTATGGTTGGTTAACTGGAACTGCTACCCCACATACGGTCTTAGTTTCAAGAGTCGGAGGATCCAGTTGAATGAGTTGATAATAATACAACTGGTGCTAGTGATCCATGTTAGCATACGGATCCATAGATTTGTGGAGAAAACGGTTGAAATAACAATAACAGCCACTTCCATCCTTCAATGGAACTCAACTGTCGCTTCTTATTCCTCATTACTTTCTCCTTAATCGAGTTCAGTGAATTGAGGGAATGAAGGATTTCAATGCTCTGTAAAGATGAATGATGATACATTGAATGTGATTGACAAATACACCTTGAGAAACAAACTGAAGCTTTATAACCGTCTTACATAAAAGAACGTCGTAGTCTGGAAGGATAAATGAAGGATAGCAAATGCGGTATAAGGATCAGAAGTCCAAGGTTGACTGCACTCCACAGTGACTCTTAGGTAGTTTGTGATGTGTGTGCCTGTGTATTCCGGTTCTGTGTAAGTCTTTTATCACCAGGGGCTCTATTGTCCCGTTGTACATATAAATGAAAAAAAAATGATAAATGCATTCCGAATATTTAAGTGTGAAATTTTGTCAAACGGGTTTACCACGGCCGGATGTAAAAGTATCCCATCAGTTTAGTGAAATATAACGATAGGCGGAATGCAGAGCAGGTCACTGACAGCTGTTGAGAACATGTGTGCCAATGCTATACATTTATTGGATTTGTAATTAAG